AGCTTCACAATTAAGTCAGCTGAACACAGCTCCTCTGTGCCCATAGGATGCTAAAAAGAAGTTATGTGTTTCCCTACCTGCAGTGATAACCTACAAAATCTGCACAATCTATAAATAGTAACATTTTGGATTATTGAAAGACAAATCCTCCCTCTTACAGAAAAGAGGTACCTTCTGGAAAAGAAGAAAAAAAGGACAAATTATGTGTACACAAATTACTCGAAGTTACTGAACATCTGCAACACCTACGCCGAATAGATATCATTCCTAAAAAATGTTTTCTAAATATGATGCTGAAATACTCAAAGGTTTAACTGTATTCTGGGAAAACAGGTTCATCATTTCACAATGCATGGTTTTATTAGAGAATACAGCAATTTCCAAGCGTGGTTGAAATGCCAACATGAGCAAGGCTTTAAGAAGAAATACAACCAATGCCCACTGTCATACTGTTAGTAATGAAGATGCCCGTTACGCATCAGAACACTTCACAACTGAAAACCTTTCAGAAATTTGCATAAATTAAGGCAAAACGCACAAATCCCACTTTAAATGCCCATCGTGAACCTTTGAAGTTAGAGACATCTGCTAACTCCGTCCATCCAAAATGCAAAAGATTGCTAGAGACTATTCAGAAAACGACAGAGGTAATAAATGCAAACACAGTAATTTGTAATTTGCTATTTCCACATCAGATCTCATTCCTGTGGAGAGTCACAGCATGAGTAGCTTTAATTGCATAGATAGCGGCACAAGGAGGGAAGGGAAGAAAGGACAGACTGTGTTCAACTAGTAGAATGCAAGGCCTTGGGTTGGCTCATATTGAAAAATTTTACTATAAATGACATTAGTGAATAAAATCAAAGGCATATGTCAGTGAGTGCAGGCTCAGCGATGCAGCTCAAAATGAAACCCAGTCCTCAAAAGCTAACACTAATGATGCTTGCATTTTTAACTGACTCATTTTTTATCCTCTCAGAGTCCACAGTGTGCTATTGGAAAAAGAAAGAGACATAAAACAGATGTGAAGGTTGCTTCTTCCTGCATCCCCACAGTCTTTCCAAGAAACTTCTGAGTAACCTTGCATGGGAACAAGCACAATAATACAGAACCACAAAAGCACTAAACCCTACAACAGACACCTCCTCTTATCTTACTGCTTCAGTGAACCCAGAGGTCTGCTTTGTAAACACTTGTGTTAAGCCTTTGTCACATGCAGACCGAGCAGTCTCACTGAGATGAAACTTGACTGTGTCTGTAAGTTCATATGTATGCAGAACAGTGAGAGATGGAGTGGACCCTCTCTCATGACTGTAGTAATAGCAGAAGTTCCCAGAAAAAAAAGAAAAAAAGAAAAAAAAAAAAGTAAAACTCAAACAGCAACAGTCACCTAGCTTGACACCCAAGACTGGAAATTGACGTTTCTAGGTATAAGGATTAAATCATTACATGTACA